CCCCCCCCCCTGGCCCCCCTCTAGTGTAGAGATAGGCATCTGTCTCTTTTCAGCTATGAATCTTGGTAGGTTTTTTTCTTTGTTCACTTTCTTTGTAAAAATTTGATTTCATGACCCAAGAAGATATCTTGCTATGTCAAGAAAAGCCTGGATGTTCACTCAGCATAACACCTATGAGTTTCATGTCTGTGCTCTCTCATTCACTTTGGCCAACTGCAGTTTCAAGTGGAGAATCTCCAGTGATATAGTGATAATGCAGGGCTTTGCTGAGTGAGAGCACTGGGTCTCGTGTTAAGGAGGAAAAATACTAAGCCTAGTGTTCTGAGGAGGCATTTGAATGACATGTTAATTAAGTGGCATTGGTGCCAAAGGCTGAGGCTTTGATTTGGCACAAAATAAAAGATGAGTGACAGAGTGATTCCCTCAAAGAAAAATTTAAATTTCCTCAGGTTTTCTTTCTTTCTCTCTTTTTAAAAAAACAGATTTATAATATATGATAATGGTCACAATAGTAGAGAACAACAAATATGGTCAGATCTATGTATTCTGATATGCCAACTTTTTATATTTAGCTAATTGATATTAAATACTGCATTTATGTAGCAGAAATTTATATAAATATATTAAATGTATAATTAATTTTGATCAGTTTGAACCCCAGCAGATGCAATTGTGTTCTTCTCAGCCCTTTTTAGCAAAACTTCAGCCTCTGATTAAAGAGGAGAATACAACTGTTGTTGAAGAGATAGGAAAAGCAGAAACAAGGAACAAAAATGAAGTAGATGGCAAATTTCCCATTGGAGACCTACAGGAGGAAGAAAAGCACAAAGATTGTGATTTAGGAGATGTGAAAAAGACACAGATCCATTTTGATCCAGAAGTAGTTCAAATAAAGGCTGGAAAAGCAGAAGTAAGAAGTTTTCTTTTTTGGGGGGGAGTATTATTTTTTAAATATTGTTATGTTTGAATTGTTTAAACATGCATACTTATTGTTTGTAGATTGACAGACGAATATCTGCATTTATTGAAAGAAAGCAAGCTGAAATCAATGAAAACAACGTCAGGGAATTTTGCAATGTTATTGATTGTAATCAAGGTAACCACCTAGAAGAATAATTTTCATAGGAATTTAAGAACAGTTTTTACAGTTGCTCTGATCTTTCATTTGTTTTTAAAAATGAATAACATTACTAATGCAATTTATTTCAGCGGTTTATTTAGAAACTAAGGCAGCAGAATTTCCTTCTGTATAATAATAGACTATATTGCAAAATAGTTTCATTTACACAAAAGTCAAATAAATGCTAACATAATAAAAGGCTAATGTTTACCACAGGTGAAATGTTTTAGGAAATGAAGATGAAGTGTGGGTAACAGGGTTGTTCGCTCTCACTAGTAAGAAGGAACTAAGCTATATAAATTTCATGCCTGTAAATGTGCTTATGAAATTATGATATGAACTTACATTAAGTAAACTTAGTAAAGTTAATAATCCTCAAGAGGGAGCAGTTTTCTCACTATTTCTGAGCTGTCAGAAATGTTTTATGTCATGATAAAACCAAGTTGTCCTTTTCTTTCATAGTGCGCATATAAATTTGCTATTTTCATCGGATTCTCCTTTTCATCCCCAGTTGATGCTATAATATATTTACAGATCTGTAGGTATGCTGCAGAATACAAAATATTGTAAAGCTCTGGCATAGATTACTCAGGCATCACAGTGATAATCAGACAAGTAGTCTTATAAAAATTATGGAGAAGAGTTCCTAATTGGAATGAGCATTTTTCTTGTTGCCTCTAATATCATGACTAATTATTCTGAATATAGAATTGTCAGATGAACCTAGAATTGACTTTTATCACATTGGTACACTGATTCTCTTAATGAAATAATACAGTCTCAAGTTGGGTCCTAAATTCAGCATTTTCTACTATTAACATTGTATGTTCATATCTCTAGGTTTGTTATATTTTCTTGTTTCTCAAAACAGGTGCAACAGTGACAAAATCTCAGGTACTACAGTTCAACTGCAAGCAACCCATAAGAAAGGGTTTGTTGAGGGAGCAAGCACATGTGTCACTAATGTTATTCCTCTCTTCTCCCTGCTAACTCTATTATTATAAACCACCAGGGGATAGAAATTGACAAGAATTGAAATGCTCAGCAGGATTCCTTGGTCCATTCAATTCCTTGCTGGCTCAAAATAGTGCTAGCAAGAATTGCTGTGGAGAGTGACTAGCACTATCTTCACACCAGGCTGAATTTCTGTCCGATGGGTCATTTAATCTATATATTTAGAATATAGCTCCAAAATGGATGATTGCTTCTTTTTTTAACCCTTAGTCCCATGAAATGGTAGAAAGGGAATGGAGAAGTGATGGCCCTTTAAACATATTTTGAGGTGTCTCAAAACAAAAACAAAAACAAAAGATAAATATTTAGTACCTATATATAAAAGGTAAGTGAATTTGGCATTTTATTCGCAGAGTTTGATTTATCAGCAGAACTATTAAGAAAACTGAGACTGAAAAAATACAAATGTATTATTATAATGTGTTAGTGTGTTCCTTTTAATACTTCTCAATTTGACTTAGTTATATAAATAGTGATATTTTTTTAAAAATCAAATTTCATGGGGAAAAAGAATTTTCTTTCAGTATCTCTTTACCATTCGTTTTATTATAAAATAAGGGAATTTTTTTTTCAGGGAATGTACTGCAGTGAATGGATTTACCTCATATAATTTAAAACATTTTATAATTTTTGAAATGTTTACATATTATGCTAACATCTTTCCAATAGTTCCCCTTGTTTTTTAATTTATTTGTTGATATCTAATTTGAAAGAAACTATACTCTTCACCTTAGAAAAAAGTGGGAATACATTTTGACAAGTTATCTTTCCTAAAATTGTACTTTTTTGAAAGGGGCAGTCTGGAAAAAGGTAGATGGCTTTTGTGATAGGGATTTTTTAAATGAACATTGGAAATCTAGGTAAAGTGGAAAAGTATGCATTAAGGTTTCAAGGTATTTTTGTGTGTAATTCTGAAATAAAAATGTGTTAAGTGTATTATTAATCTTTTTTGTTAGGTGTTCACTGATTTAATCTGTAAGTAATATAAAAAATGCTGTGTTTTTTAAAAACATTTCAGGAAAAATAAGGAGTTCTATTTTTATGTTGAAATAAAGTAAATAATGCCTCTTTGGCGTAGAATTAAAATATTCTCTAGACTATATAAATTTTTTCCTTCAAGGGCTCAGATGGTTTTTAGGGATATTGGTATTCATTAAAAATATTATGCTACTGAATGTTGAGGACTTTTCTATGTATATAAATCTGAAAATTGGATAAGATTAGATATTATAAATTTTAGAGGGCAAAGATCACTAAATGTTATCCTGTATGTGATAAAATTATATTTTCTTATTATGAATAATATGTTAAGTAATATGAATTATTTGAAGTTTGTCAAAATCTCCTACATTTGAAGTTAAGAGTATACTTACACTCATTTACATTCTCCTTAGAAAATAGTTGTGCAAGAACTGATGCCGTTTTTACCCCTTACCCCGGATTTAAAAGTCATGTAAAAGGTAAGTATCCACTACATATCTTTATCACTGACAGAGGCTTATGGAATAAAAATCACTTTCCTATCTAAATTTTATTTTAAAACAAAACAAATAATCCTGCCTTTCTTCATACTTGGGTTTGTGATTAGATGGTCTTTATGAAAAATATATTTATAAAGTACTGTTTGGGAGAAAAAATTTCTGATTTTTGAAATGTAATTGTAATAGGCTCAAAAGTTTCTTAACTTAGTTTCTAGAGTTGTGAATACATATGGACCACAGACTCGACCTGAAGGAATTCAAGGGTCAGGTCATAAACCAAGCAGCATGCTCCGAGATTGTGGTAATCAGGCTGTAGAAGAACGGCTACAAAATATTGAGGCTCATTTGCGATTGCAGGCAGGTAAGCAGAGTGCTGGGCAGTGCCCCATAACGTACCTTTGCAAGTGGCTAAAGGAATTCCAGTTCGTTTAGTCACCAAATTTTCACTGAGCACCTGTCATGTACAAGACATTGTTCTGGACCTTGCTGGTGTGGCTCATTTGGATGAGCGTCATCCCGTTCGATTCCTGGTCAAAGCACATGGCCAGGTTTCCAGTTTGATTCCCAGTTGGGATGCATGCAGGAGGCAAGTGATCAATATTGATGGTTTTCTCTCTGTGTTCTCTCCCTTCCTCTGTATCTGAAATCAGTAAAAACATTAACACCACCAAATCATTCTTCTGGTTGGTGCAAAAATGAAAAAATAAAACATAGTCCCTGTTTTCAAGGAATTTATATAGTTCGTGTGTTTTGCTCTTTTCTGCCTTCCACTTTTCACCAATTTGAGAGAGTTTGTAGAATGGGAGCAGGTTCCATATACACCCTGACACTCTCAGTTTATTAAAATCAGAGATGAAAACTAATGTAGTCTTTTTCCTGCTGCCAAATTCATAACTTACCGTGACCACTACTCATTCTTATCATCCACTGTGCTAGGTACAAAGTATTGATAAGTGTAATCCTAGTCCTCAAGGAACTTGCAGTGAGGATGAGCATATCTATATATATAAAAGGCTAATATGCTAAGTGTGCCTCTGACCGTCCAACCAGTTGCTATGACACTCACTGACCACGAGGGGGCAGATGCCCAACGCAGAGCTGCCATGACGCGCATTGCCCATTTACAAAGTAACGGTAGCGCGGACCTGGCGCCAACAAAGCAACACTTGGCTTTCCCCAAGTAGGACACAGGCCCCACCACCACCCTGGAGCAACAGCCCACCAAATCGCAGCCCACGCTGCTGAGACCCCATGGTGCAAAATGCAGCCCACAGCCCAGCCCAGCCCAGAAATGGTCACTGTGGGCACCGGGTAATGATGTCACATAGCAACGCCCGGCTTCCTCTCCCTAGCAACCAGCCTCCTTGGAGTTTCTTCAACCCAGGTGCAAACATTTTACACTTTAACCAAATGTCTGTGAAGTGTTTTCCCATGCCTCATCTCATTTGATCCTCACAGAAGTCCTGGAATAGGTAGAGATTTAGAAAGCTTAGAAACTTGACCCAACTGAAAAGAAGTAAGAAATGGTGGACCTTGAAAATGACTTCAGGTTTTCTCACTGCACAGAATATAGTCAAACACTGCTGCAGTTAAATATTTTACCCTTTGTTCTCCCTGCATGATCTACAATAATAATGTGCTTCATGTTGATATTTACTGCTGTTTGCTGAAAAAGGGCTGGAAAAAGTTTAGCTAAATCAGAAAGCAGGTCTAATTAAGCAAGTTTATTCTATATCTATAAAAGGCTAAGTTGACTCATGCATGTGCAATACATATAAAGCTCTCGCTGGTGCTAGTCGCACGCGTGTGTTTCCATCTGTCATTGTTGATCATATTTGGTTGACACTTCTATTATAGAGAAAGGGAACTAGCAATATTAAAATATTTATTCTAATTAATTTCCTTTCAATGTGCACAAATCCGCACACTGGGCCACTAATAAATAAATAAATGCCATAGAGAAAGTGAACTAACGTTTAATGAGTAATATTAAGTGCTAGTCACTCTAAAAATATGTATATGTCAACTCAGTATTAACAGTACTCTTGTGAGGTGTTGGTGCTGTTATTGTTGTTAGATAAATAAAGTGAAGTTCAGAGAGTTCAAACAGCATGCCCAAGATAGTAAGTGACAGCTGGAAATCAAACCTAAATTGGTTGCAAAGCCTGAGTCCTCTCCTCATTTAGTCACCAGATTTTGTTGATTCTGTCTTCAGAATATCTCTTAAATCTACCCCCTTCTGTCTGTCTCCCCAGCTACTACTCTAGGAAGTCCATGTTCTTTGTCTTAGACTAGTGGAAGGATGTTAACTGGTTGTTTTGCCACTGGACTTTCTCCTTGAGACCAATTTTCTCCCTTTTGGCCCAATTGTTTTTTTTAAAGCTCAGATCTGATCTTGCTACTCCCCAACTAAAAATTCTTTAATGGTTTTCTGATATAGATATATATATATATACACACACACACACACACATACTTAGTACTTATTCATTCATTCCACAAATAGCTATTAAGTTCCTACTATAAGTCAGGTACTGCTCTGGGCACTGAGAATACATGTGAACAAAAGTTCTGGTATATAAATTATATGCTAAACTAGGAGAGAAGGGCTATAGATAAAAGCAGCTTGACAAGAGAAGGGAAAGGAAATTCAGATGGGTAGGGGTGGTAATTTTAAATAGCATGAACTACATTTATAGTTTCAGCTACATTTCTGGGCTTCCCATGCTTTCCAGTCATTTTGCTGTGCTAGGGCTTTTACCCAGGCTTTTTCTTCTGCCCCTGCTTTCCTTCCTGATCCCACTCTGGTGTGGATTACCCTTTATTGCAGCAGTCGCCAACCTTTCGGACCTCATGGACCACCAGTGGTCCGCGGACCACCAGTTGGCGACCGCTGCTTTACTGTATAGTCTCATAGCACCTGGTACTCCCTATCTCCCCTGCTAGATAGTAAGGTCCCTGAGAGCACACTGTTAATTAGGTTCATTGTTTACCTAGTGCAGTGTCTGACACAAAGCAAGCATTCAAGTGTTTGTTGAAGGAACGATTGTTCATTTTACCTTTTCAGATATGTGCATTGTACAGTAGGGACACAAAGTTAGTGTTCAGTTCTCTCAGGGGAGGTCGAGGGATGGTGTCCCTGTTAAAGGGACACTTGAATCCTTGAAGGGTTAGTAGGAATTTTTCAGCACTCAGGAGCAAAGGATTCCAAAAAGGAACAGCATCAGCAAAAAACACCGAGGCACAAAATATGGTTCAGGGACTTTCTGAGTTCAGTCTAGCTGGAGTATTTCCTGATGGAGTTAAAAGAGAAAGAGTGAATCTTCCAGGGACAAAGAAGGCTGTAGAAATAAGGTAACTTGAGCCAAGACCTGAAGGTGGTGAGAGCAGGCTTTGTAAATATGGTGGTAGAGGGAACCACAAGTGCTGAAACAGAGTACTTGGCCTAGTTGAGTAACAGAAGAAAAGAATCAAGTGACTGGAATGATAAGAGTTTGGCGAGAATGTCCAAATTGTGTAGGACCTGTAGACTACTGTAAAGGCTTTGGCTTTTAGTCTGAGTAAGATGTGAAGGTATGGAAGGTTTTGAGCAGAGAAGTGACACTATCTAACTTATATTTTAAAAAAATTACTGGCTGTGACGGAGGGTGTGTGAGAATAGACTGTGTTGAGAATGGACTGTATGGGAGGGGAGCAAGGCAGAAGCAAGTAGATCAGTTTGGATGTGGTAATGATCCAGGGAGAAATCGTGGTGGTCTGGACCAGAATGGTTGCAGTGGAGGTGCTGAGAAATGAAAGGATTTAGGATAAAATCTTAGCCTTGAAATTTGAGTAACATTATTTTACCATCCCCCGCCCTAGAAAATTCATTAGTTAAGAAATATTAAAAAGTTTATCTTTAGTGCAGTTCTAGGTTAAAGGAGAAAATATGGCATATAGAGAAAAATATAAATGGAAGAAAGTGATATGGGATATTGCAACCACTAAATTGAATTGTCAGTTATAAATATGCATTTCAGAAATACAAATTGTTCTATACAGGAACTATTCAATATCTTGTAAAATGAATTTAACATAAATAAAACTCCTAGTAATATAGGAAGCATAAATGGGGCTTGGGGAGAGGTATAGTAGGATAATATATCCCATAGTGTATAATAGGAAAATGTGAACTAAAAATTTCATTCGAATGTACTCTTGTTCATTTATTTTCTTAAATATTTCCCATTCCTATGCATAAGTATCTTTGCATGGTATTTTAAGAATAAAAATTGTAAGAATTGTTCAATAGTATCTCAGAATGTTCTTAAATGTATTTAGGTGGTCCTGTGCCAAGAGACATTTATCAGAGAATTAAAAAACTTGAGGATAAAATCCTTGAATTGGAAGGCATCTCTCCCGAGTATTTTCAATCTGTAGTAAGTATAAGTATCTTTTAAAAATAACTAAATGTTATTTTATTCTAGGATTCTTCATTATATAACAGTTTACTCATTGATCTCCTATATATGAGATAATTAATAATTCAGAGATGAATGAACATAGTTCTATGTAAGAGATTACCTACTTCTTTAAAAATTGTGATTCCAAATATTGTACTATAGGCTCATAATTTTTTAAAGGGGTGCTTTTGTTGTACATTACCCAGTTTCTCAAATTTAAGTCATTCTCATGGCATGATAAGTGAGCCTGGATAATAGTCCATCCTGTCACTCTGAATGTGCTGTCTTGTAAAACAAAGGCTTCTTCTGAGACCTTGTTCTGTCAGTTATCCCCTGTGTCTCTTTAATCCTTCGCTCTTTACAGACTCCTTCCCTCAGCTCATATGTGTTTACATTTCTCCCCCATACTAAGCAAACAGGCGCCTCGATTTGCCACCCTGCCTTTCTCTTTACGTTAGCACTGGACTTTTTGAAAGACTAGTCTGTATTGTCTAATTCTTCAACTCTAGCATTTATTCACTCATTCATTCATTCTTCTCTCTTTTCCAAGGAAAATAAGAAATAATGTGTTGATAAATATCTTATTTGTCACATCAACATGTTTCAGATAAATGATCCCGAGTTCATTGTATTTCCGTCTTCGGGGTGATTATCTATAACACCTGCCTTTTCTGAGGGCTGGATGTTTTGTGTATGGTTGTTTGTTTGTTTTTAAGTCGTGGCATATTAGATAAAACCAAAATGTAAAAGTGAACAAAATTGCTAAGGCTACTAAATTTTTAGTAATATTTTTCTAAAACTTTCTGAAAAATTATATAAAATAATTCATATTGTCATAGAGCATAAGTCACTGGTGAAATTATATTAAAATTGTTCTAGGTATAGCATCAACCTTTCCAAAGTCTTAAATTGGGTATTAGAGTGAGGAACAGAAGAGAAATTTTTCCAGACGAAGAGAAAAGCAAACTATACAACAAAAGTGAGCAGTGAATCCTAAAGATCAAAAATATAGTTTTAGCGATTTACTTCCTTCAATGTAAAATGAGGTTTATTAAAGTACTAAGGGCTAAGGCAATGATTAAATGATATAACACCAGTCAAGTACTTGTCACCTACCTAGCACGTGGTAAAACATCAGTAAATATTAGCAGTTATTTTGTTTCAGAAACTATCTATGAAGTAGCTAAGTGTGGATAAGTCACATAATTCCTTTAGCCTTCACTTGTCCAATTTAAGATTTGTTGGTTGTACTACATAATTACAGAGCTCTTTGTACTTTTAGAATTATTTTTTGAATGTATCTTTCTAGGAAATGTCATAGAGATTTTATGCCTTTTCCTACAACAATCTACCATAAGTTTTCCCATTCTAATTGCCTTCATTATGTAATCTCTAGGCAGGTTATTCTTCTAGTTTCATTCTTGTTAATATATTATTGTGAATAATAGACCTGATCTTACAAGAGAGTGTCATAGTGTTAGATGCCTTAGGTGAGACCTTGCCCCATCATTTATCTCTTCTCTCTGATTCTGATTCTATTACATAACTTGGTTAACAAAAGAACAAGTCCTTCAAATCATAATCTTTTTTTTTTTTTTATCTAATATATACAGGACAGAATGTTCAGGGTATTTGGTTAAAGAAGTGAAAGTAGTTGGGTTATAGAGGACCTTAAATGCTATACCCAGAAGTTTAAAGTATCTAAAGTTTAAATGCTATTGAAAGCATTTGAACATGAAAGTGACTTGTTCAAGTACTATTTAGGAGATTTTTCTAATATTGTCCTGAGAGGTAAATGAAAAGGGAGACTAAGAATAAGACAATATTAGGTGTGAAGTGAGATCCTGCCCTAAGGACATGAGAATGAGAATAGGAAAGATTACGCAGGAGACAGTAGAAAAGAGAAGTTGACAAATATTGATAATTAATATGTGGAGAGACATAGAGCAAGAGTGAGTCCAGTTTCTGGTAAGGAAAATGATACTACCATTGATAGAAATAAAATCTGAAGGGGAGCATATTTGGGGGGGAAATGTGAATTTAAAGTCATAACAGGATACACAGCTAGAAATATCAGGTAAGCCTTCCAAGATGTAGGACTTAGACTTGCCACAACTGGAAGAGTCTGTGTGGAAGAGGTAGTTAAAACACAGAATGGGTAAGAACACTGAGACTATCAGAGGCCTGAGGTCTGAAACTTGGTGACTACCTAACTTCAGGGCAGGAAGCATTATAAAAGTAATGTGATTAAAACTAGTGCTTTTAAAGAAGATCCTCCAGTCTATTAAACAATACGTATTTGATTAGAAGGATCACTTCTGGATTATTATTGGAAACTAGAGGCCTGATGCACGAAATTCATGCAAGAGCAGGCCTTTCTTACCCCGGCTGCCGGCACCAGCTTCCCTCTGGCATCTGGGACCCGGGCTTCCCTCCAGCCGCAGGCAGGCACCCAGGACCCGGGCTTCCCTTGCAGCCCGGGCTTCATCCGGAAGGTCATCCGGAAGGATGTCTGGTCTAATTACCATATTATGTTTTTATTTTTATAGCTGACATATCCAAATTAATAGTGAGCTACAGGGAAGCACAAAATACTGAAAGGTTTAAACATTCAGATTGACTTTTTCCCCAAGACCTATGAATATATATGGCATAGGCCCCAAGCCCAAAGGGAAAAAAAGATTTTATACTCACCCTTCCTTACCAGAATGAATATGCCATCTCTAGGAGCCCCACTCCTCTCTTAGAATAGAACCAGCTCTAGGATTGTCCTCACACATGAGAGTTGAACACACCCTACAGAGAGCATAGCACATAATTTGCCACTTTTACTGTCCATGTTGGGAGTACACACATGGCAGTGGCATAATTTCACATCTCCCTCAAAAGTGTACAGAAAGGCCCTGGCTGGTTTGGCTCAGTGGATAGAGCGTCGGCCTGTGGACTCAAGGGTCCCAGGTTCAATTCCGGTCAGGGGCATGTACCTTGGTTGCGGGCACATACCCAGTGGGGAGTGTGCAGGAGGCAGGTGATCGATGTTTCTCTCTCATCGATGTTTCTAACTCTCTATCCCTCTCTTTTCCCTCTCCCTTCTTCTCTGTAAAAAATCAATAAAATATATATTTTTTAAAAAAGTGTACAGAAAGACTACAAAGGCAGCTCAGTCTTCTAGCTTCTAAAGTTAGAAAGTACGGGAAAGTTGAGCTCAAAGATTGATGCACAGCACATGAAATGGGAAACATTACCAGGAAAAAAAGATATAAATTGTATTGGGTTTATAAAACAAAATTAGACCATGTAAAGTTCTGTTCATTTATGAAACAGACATAAAACTCTTTTAAAAAGTTAACATATATATGCAGGAATTACCACAAAGATTAATATTTGTTGCCCCTTTAATGTGATCATTCTAAAGATCTTTACCCTTCACATTCAACATGGAAAGATATGAATGTGGTAATGTTTTTAAAAATTTGAAGGCATTGCTTAACAGACCATTTAAAGGATACAATGCTTATGATTATTTCCAAAGTATTGCTTACTGCTTTTAAATTATAACCCCTGAAAATAGTACGTATAACATGCTTCACAAGTATATTTCTATAGCACTTTGTTCATTTGATAACACTTAACACTTATAATTACATGTTTACACATCTATTTTTCACACTGTGTTTTGAATCTCTGGAGGATAGGAATTGTCTTGTTCATCTTTAACACAAAATGTAGTATGCATTGAATAAATGTGTGAATGAATGGATAGGACTTGGCTGATAGCTAATTATTGAACTTTTGAAGGTGTGTTAACTTTGTTCCACAGCACTGACCAGGCGGAATCCTAATTCCGTTTTGTGATGGGAACTCCCGGTTCTCAGGGAAGTGTCTCAGGGAAGTGTCGGCATAGGGGAGTGCTAAGGGCCAAGCCAACTTTTGCACACAGGCCATGCACGGTGGGCCCGAAGCATGAAGTGAACAACTAGATCCAGCTGGAAAATTAAATTGCAAACATTTTGGAGGGCCTTGAAGGTCACAGTAACCCATTTGCAATTCCAGTGTCACTGAGAAGAAAACACCTGTAATTTAGGTTCCTATCTGGTGGCATTATGAAGTATGAGTTAGAGAAAGATTGGAGTCGAGGAAAGTAGTTTAGGAAACATCATTGTCCACACAAGGGAGAAATGAAGGTCTGAATTAGGGCAGTGGGACTAGAAGGGAAGAAACATTGAAGACACTGCCGTGTAAAATCTGTAGTCCTTGACCACTGATTGCAAGTAAGGAAGGGTCAGAGAGGAGACTGACTTACCACTGAGTTTCCTTAGAGCCTGGGTTCCCCAGACCTGTGTGTGTGTGTGACATTTTAAAAAATTATGTCTGTCCAGCTATTTAGTATGCTCTCAAATACTTCTCTTAGGTACCAAAACTTGTTTAAAATTTCCACCTTGTGCCTAAAAACAATACATTTTAAAGCTAGTCTAGTGTATTCACAAGGTATGTGCTTCTAAGTGTTCTACTTGTCAAAATATTCTGCTCAGATTTAAGATAAGTCCCCAAAGACTACATTTTACTGTTTTTAAGTGATTGAACCACTGATGTCCTCATTTTCCTCATTCTGATACTTTTCACTTTAGTTTCATGATAATAATCTATTGCTCAATGACATGGAAATTAGCAATACTGTATAGATTAAGCTGTTAGGAAAACAAGGGGGAGTATATTTTCATCCGACGGGTAAAATGCCACCTTTTGGGAGGGTAAGAGACTGAGCAGTGACCAACTTAAACATTAAGCCCTTGCCCATAGGCCCCACAGAGGTATTCAGCTCAGTTTGGCAAAGGAAGGAGCATGTTTATAGAAGCAGTTTCCCCCCATATTTAATAATTCTAACACTTGAATGATTTCCCACTTATAACTGCTGCTAAGAGGCACACCTCAATGTTCTTTGAAACAGCTTTTGACACAAAGTAAAAATCTGACTTTTTACCTTCCCTCTGATCTCAGTGGTCAGAAATGTTCATGAGTAAAATTTATCTCCTACATTGACAGTTTCTTTTTCAAATGTACTAATACACTGATTTATCTTTTGAAAGCTGTGGTATTAGGTAAATCATGATTGTCAAAGAATTGGGCTCACCCTGGCCAGTCACGGATGCAGACTGAAGGGTCCCAGGTTCAATTCTAGTCAAGGGCATATGCCTGGCTTGCAGATTTGATCCC